ACAAAGCACTTGCAGAATTTGAAGCTGAGGACCATTTCGCCAGGAGATCCTGGCAATCCGAGTCAGAATCGGATCAAACGTTTAACGTGTCTCTCAAAAAGTCTCTCAGAAAGTCTCTCGATCGAATCTGTAGGAACCTGTATCTGATGTGAAAGAAATACGCAGAATAATATGTGGCTTCAGTGTGGCTATCATGTGGCGTCACCAGTGCTCCTGTGGTTGGCATCGCCAGAGCCCAGTCTGTAGCACAAAAATGCGAGGAGCTCGCCAGAGTGCGGTTTCAGAGATGGTGCCTTCACCTGCTTTGAAAACAATGCATCTGACATCATCTGACAACAGATTCATGAAAGCAGGCTGAAAGTGGTCTGAAGGCAGTCTGAAAGCAGCATACATAAATTACATAATGCTGTGTGGAAATCATCTCTGCACATTCCTGGACGATGTTGGCCTACATGATCCTATATGATATGATCTACATGTTTTCAAGACGACAACAGCCCGAGTTCTGCGGCTGAATTGCGCATTCCCACCTGAGACAGACAAGACGGCTGCCAGAAGTCTGCTGGCCTCTGCCATGAGCTCACCTTGCCTCAAGACACTGACAACATCTAACAACATCCAACAACAGTAACCTCTGATTAACCACCCTTATCTTGCACGCCTTCCTCGCCTTCCTCGACTTGCTGGACTTGACATTGAAGATACGAAGTGAAAAAAACACTTTTTGTTTAGCTTTTGAAGTTCACTGAGGTTCACTGTCGAGGGGACGAGCTCTGAGGCTCTCAGCACATCATCACTGGGAACTTATCTGCAAAGGGAAACCAAAGTGTCACTCTCAAATCATCAACTTTAACGCGTCGATTAACTGATTATGTAACTTGAGATCAACAAGCCGAAGCAACTCTAAAGGTAATGCATCTGGAGTGTGACAACGCATCTCTTTCACCCTCATGGGATCCTATGCTGATAGTTCGCACAGATTCAGGTCCAAATACATGCTCTACACAAATCAGGGTGGATGGAAACTGAAGCTTGCCACGAAGAAACGGTCGCTCCAAACTCTCTTGCGCAGCAGCTGCTCCCAATGTGGCTTGGCAAAGGCTGTTGAGAGCTAAGCGTGACTCTGCAAGAACTTGTTTCAGCTCCTGCAGAGACAGTTTCACTTGCTTCTACTGCAGTATCAAAGATGTCAAAAGAATCCAAAAGAAACCTGAAAGCAATTGCGAGATAATGCAAGTCTGCAAACATGAATAAATCAGTAGAAACTGACAGAAACTGCTAAAAACTGATAGAAACATATAAAAACCAAGTTCTTTTTCATGACCACGCCTCCGCTGCTTCGCCAAGGCGCTTGAAGGAATCATGCGCCTCCCGGAGGGTCAACTTTTGTCAACTTGCTTAGACACAGTGCACTGAGTGCTCCCTACAAATTTGACAAATGAAGACTCTCGAAGACTCTCGAAGACTCTCGAAGACTCTCGAAGACTCTCTAGAGGTGACCCTCAATAAAACACCGCGTCCATCATGGGTACCTCTGGAATGCCAGGATTCTTGTCCGGATGTAGTGCGCGTGATAACTGGCGATAAGCATAGTTGACATCGGATTCGCCATAGCCACCATGATGTACACCTCCCAATCGCAAAACGGCCCCAGCTGCCAATAGCTGTCCACCCTTGCGGGAGAGGATGCGCTGAATTTCTTCTGCCGGTGCACCAACCAGGATCTTCTCTGCCGCATGTGCCTGTCGAACCTCCTGCAAAAGGCGACCTCGCAATTTGAGATCTGCGAACCACGGCAGATCTCCAAAAAGCTCAACACCCGGGACACCCAATGGCGCCGAAAGATCCGAAAGTGTTGCATCGTCAGCTGGAGGTTCAGGTTCTGGTGGTGGCGGAGCTACAGCTGGAGGTGGAGGAGGGGAAGCGGCAGCTTGTGTCGCTTGCAAGCGCTTCAGAATACCAGCCTTCACCTTGCAACCAGGACTTAAGTGTTGAGGGCATCAGAGCGTTTTGTATTGTTACTTGGTTTGCTTTGTCAAGCTGTGGCTCGCCAAATAAAAACTGAAAGACCATGCAATCAATTGTCTTTTCCCTTCCCAGGGGCATTTCACAGACTCGGCTCATTTCAATCAGAGGAAAATGAGAATTCCAGCTTCAAATTTCTGTTGCGCCAAGACACCGTCTCCAACTTTGCTGCCCTTGCTGCAGGGGGAAGAGAAGCAAGAGCCTGATAGCATTTCAGCTAAAGTCATTCAGGAGATAGCAAGTTTTTTTTCAGAGATGTTCAGCTTACAAAAGGTTGCAAAATACGTTATCTGACGTATTCTGATGCCATGTATGTCATAATCTGATGTTCTTTCAAATCATTTCAAGTATTATCAATATTATTTGATATTACAGTATCTGATATTATGTATCTGTGTCTTGCATTGTCTTACCGTATTTGTATCTGACATATTTTCTGTACCTTTTCTGCTTTTTCGGTGGGGTGTGACACAACTACTGGCCTTCTCGGCCATCTCTTGTGCCTGCTGCTCCAAGTCCATCGTTGTCTCAAAACGACCCGACGGGCCAGACGTGAGACTGACGTGAGACGTGGTTTGAGCTGTTTCAGTTGGTTTCAGAAGAAGCAAAGCATTCCATGTCGTGTTGCATGTGGTGTGCCACGCAGATTCAGCCAAGGGCTAGTGGTTTCAAGAAACCTCATTTAATTCGACGTCTAGAGATGTGTTTTTATAAACAAATGCTTATCTATTTATCAATACATCTATTTGGATATTGTTGATTTCTCTGTGTCAGGCCACCAAAAGGAGCGTCTAGCTGTTTGACTGCTGAATCATGTATCCAATTCGATTCCTCTTTCTGGCTGGCTGTGTTGTCCGGTTTTGTCTATGACAGGCGAAAGCATCCACACGAGCGCAAACAAAGCAAGGGCACTGCTGGCATGAGAAGAATTTGAGAGATTTTGAGAGTAGCTAATACTGAGTCTTTTGGTTGCCGTGGATGCTCAAGCAATATGAAACGTCTCGCGAGTCACTCTTCACTCGTTGGTGAAAACAGTGCTCATGTACAGTGCTCATTGTGGTTACAGCGCTGTCCTGTCCAACTCATTCCGTGCTGTTCGCAAACTGTCAAGCTCGGGCACAGCCTCCACATCCTGAAAGGCTGTTCAAAGTGCCAAAGTGCTGTATTGCTGCACCCAGCAGGAACTTGGATTCAGGTCCTTGCCTCATCGCAAGTTTCACAATGTTGTGTACAAATGCGTACAGTAGAGTTTTTGTCGTTGCTGTTGTTGTTGTTGTTGTTGTTGTCGTTGCTGTTGTTGTTGTTGTTGTTGCTGCTTCCAGCTTAGTCAATGACCCGGGCCTCACAGTCTGAGACGACAGGTACCCGGTTTGCACCTTGCCAAGATTGCAACAGGAAAAAAAATACATGCGGCTTCTAGTAACTCACCCTGAAAAGCAATATGCCTGTCATGTACCAAGTTTCTGTTCATCTCCAAGCGACTAGATGGCTCACATGACAACATACAGCTTGAGAAGCAAACTGACCGTTTGGTTCTCCAACTTTGCACCACAGTCTCTAAATGCTAGCTTTTATTATCTTTTATTCATGTTTATTCTAGCAGAACCTTGGCGAGCCTTACTAGCCGATGACCTAAAGGAACAGCGAAGGCACTATCCATCTTCAGACTTCAAGGTTTGAATCTCGAAATCAGTGTCTCCAAATCAGAATATAAATATATATGTATACTGTATACGTATGTATATGTTGCGTCTTCCATTTGGACTTCCAAATAAATCAAATAAACAGGAGCGGCCAAACAAGAGTATAAACCCTTCAGAGTCGCGCATCGCTTAGCCTTTCTCTGGCCTTGTCCAGTCCGGAGAGCCACCAGTCCAAGACCTATGAAAGCCACTCCGGCAACGACCTAAGTTCCGCAGTCAGATACCAAATCCATTGGAGTCTGTGCGAGTCGCAGAGCCTCTCTCTCTCTTTCTGTGTCTGCTCTCTCTTCCAAAGTCTTCACATTGTCTTGTCTGAAATGTCTGAAATGTCTGAAAACAAGCAGAGACCAACTCAGCTCTTGAGTTCTTCCATGTTCTTCCGCTTTCTCGAATTTGTTCACTGAACTGGGCTCCTTGCACACAGCCCCGCTGAGGTGCTGCTGAAAGAGCTGTCAATCTTTTGAACGTCCTGGCTTTCAAGGAGCAGTGTTTACGGAATCGAAACAAGGCTCCAGGGCTTGAGCAATTCATCAAGTAGTCATTCTAGTAGTCATTCTCATCATTCTCACTTCTTCACACTGTATTGTCTTGCTCATGAGCAAGGTTGAGACACTGAGCATTGAATTCCTTTCTGTCAAAAAGAGAACGTAAGCCAAAATTGTGCCTTCAAATTCTAGTTCTTAAACATTGGCTTCTTTCTTTCTGCTTTCTTGACTTTAGAAACTGGGTGAACTCGCATGGGTCCACGATGTGTGATGTGCAACGTGTCTATGCCGATAGCCTAGCTAACTTTCATGGCTGCCGCAAGCGAAGCTAGCGCAGGCTGGGAAGATGCGGAGAGGACTGATGGCAAAAATTGGCAAAACACCGACAAGATCTGAAGTGATCTCCACACCAAAAAAGAAAAGGCCCATGCATGGCCCATGTAGATATTTCCTTAACACTTGCCGTTTGGATCCATATGATCCATCCAGTCAATTCAGAAGACTAAAATGGCAAAGATCTCCATCCCGATTATGCAGGTATTGCCAGGTTTTGCGTTTCACACAAAGATCACAAAGGAGACATTCTAAGAACCCACCTAAAATGACAATCTGTTGCTTCCCTCAGCGCAAGGGCTTGGCGCTGTGCAACATCTACTCAAGGCCTTAAAAACCGAATGAAAGCTAGCTGCACTAATGAAAGCCCATGCAAAAGCATGCAAAACGTGTCTCCTCGTTCAATCGCAGTGGCTTGCCAATCAGAGCAAAGCCATCTGGCCCAACTTGCTTCTGCACCAGGACAGGTTCGTGCAAGCGTTATCAAATTTGGAAGTAACGCGAATATGGAGATGATCTGATGCCTTTAGCCCTTGCCTCGTAGACTTTTGACAGCCTTGCAAGGGCCGCTTTGAGCCTCTTTGTGTCTTTTATCTGCTCCTCGTGGCTTGTGACTTATGCGGAAAACAAACGTGAAAATCGAGTTATCACCGCTTCACGTTTGTACCCAATGATGGTCGGCATGAACTGTAACTGCGCCCCAACTTCTACAGTTGTGGAACCCTGTCGTAACCCTGTCCTTCTTGACAATATCCGCAACAGCTTTAGAAAGAACAGACTTGTTCACTGGCTGGTCCCAGTCAATCTGTGGGAATTTGGCCTGGGTACATCAAGCGCTAGTCCGTGAATGTCAAGGTGTCTTTCACACTCCCTACACTTCAACCGATACTTTTGGAGCTTCTAACATGTGAGCTGTGGTCAGGCAGATGGGTAAATGTCGGAGCTTCAAAGCGTTGAGTGCGCTACGAAAGCCTTTGGCATTTCTGAGTCACTCACCTACAATGCTTCGCAATTTAAGGCTTGCAGCTGTATACGGCAACGTTTTGACCACATGTCTCTCTGAGGGTCAGGTGGAGTTGAAGTGCAGTGAGCATTCGAGGCCAGGAAAGAAATGTATATAATATATTAATATAATATATATGTATATATGATATATACTCTTTCAATTTCTTTCAGTGTATTCAATTGAGACACATCGGTCAATTGCGGCCTTGGGGAGAGCGTCCATGGGATCACGGGCGGCCATTGGCTTTAGCTTTTCCTCAGATCATCACGGTACAAAGTTGCTCCCAGGGTCTTTGATAAGGCTGGGAAGAAAAACCCTCACAGTTCGCAGCATTTTGCATCATCACACAATGTATTAAGAATTCTGCTGGCGGACTTCGAAGATTTTCCTGTCCATGAGGAGCGCTCCAGCCAACTCTTAAACATTTGGAAACGTTCGTAGGAAAGGATTGTTGTCAGCTTCTGTTCCGTGCTGTTCGAGCGTGCCCATTCTGCACTGTTCAAGAAATCAAAACAGCAGGGTGCATGAGCATCTATGAGAATTCCATGCTCGGAGGAATGCCTTGACCATTGGACTGATTTGCTTCAAGACGGGCAGGGATCTGTCACCTGAGCGATCACAGGATGAACAGTCAACTCTTCCATACATCCTGATGCAAACAGGTCGTTCGACCAGCTCGCGCTTTGGCTTTGGACCCAGGTCCCCCTGCCACTTTCAATCTTGTCGATGAGCTTCTGTGCTGCTTTTCCAAAGTCAAGGTCTGCCGTGGCAGGCAGAAGCAACCTCACAAGATAATGGGTGTTTTCTGATGTTTTCTGCACCATCATTCTGGTAAGACTCTGCCAACACAAAAGCGTAGCTTCCTAGGTTGCTGCTACTGCTGTTAATCTCTGCCTCTATTCAGCGCAAATAAAGAGCTAAGAGCAAGACAAAGCAAGCACGGGATAAAAGAGTGTGGCCATGCTCGCAGAAAAGAGCGACAGCAAAAAAGAAACTACACTGTCATTTCCCGCAGCACGGTTGAAGAACTAGCGGCAGTGGCACAGGTAGAGGCAGACGTTCATGCACCTATTCCAACAAGTACGTCTGCAGCATGCTTACATCCGCAAGATCTGTATGTGCATTACTTTGGCTTTTGAACTGAAGGCATACAGCCATCGCCATCAGTTTGCTTTTTTCCCGCTTCATTGGCCTCTGCCTCAAAGGTGCAGTACCTAAGCATACCTACCTGGTCTAAATTATGTACAGATTACATACCACCCTTTATGGAGAGGTCAGTGACCAGCGACGCGTGGCAAAGGTTTGTCCACGTCGACATCTATACCACCTCGAGACAGGTGAGATCGGGTGCAAACTGTGCACAAATAGACCTGCAAATTGCTGTTAAATTTCAAGAAGTTGCTTTAATAAGTAGTTTAAATCTATCATAATCTATTTTTGTTTGCAAATCAAAAGTGCCAATCTGAGTCCGGTCTCGATTCTATGTATCGTGAGGCCGAGATTCTGGCGCACATCCCCGGGCCTTCAAAAAAAATAGAAAGTTTGACTGGATACAACATGATACAACAGCCTACTCATCTACTCATCCTACAAACATATACAGTATATACTAAGTATATACATCCATATTCACCAATACTCTTCTGCAGCCTGCTTTGCATGGTAAAAAGAGGGCACAAGGCGCCTGAAACAAGTCAGCGACTCCATCTTCATCCGACCAGTTTCTGGAATTAGACGCCAAATCTGCACGCGGAGAAAGAGTCTGGAAGGACCGCTCTCATTGCACCAGCCACTTCAGCCACTTACAGTACAAGAGAGTTCGTAGCAACTTGCCCTGCAATTCTCTCTTTATCTTTTGTGGTTTCTTTATCTTTTAGATTCTTTTAGACTCTCTAGGGCCTCTAAGCAGACTCTAGGGCTTTTCTCAAGTCTTAAACATTCTGAAACCGTGTCTTTTCACTGTCACCGTATGTCAGTCTCTTTTTGTCGACTCGTTTTGTTCTCTCGAGCTGCGAAACCGAGGCCTCATCGCAAAACTGATTTCAGCTCCTGGCATCCTTTGTGCCCGGTAAATTGAGCAAAGTACTGGCAAGTACTGGCATCCAGTTGAATCAAACTTGTCATACCTTGTCATAGCTTGTCTCTTTAGAACTTGGCCAAACAATTTGTCTCAAGATCCACTCTGTCCACTTCTATATCTTTTACTTTCAAAGAATTGTAGAATGCTGTGGACTTGCTTTGTTTGGACAGTGGATCTTTCATGATTTTTCCACAACGCCACCCTTTGCTCAACGGGGTCGTAGCTGAGATGCCTTGGCCCGCCTCGGCAGATGTGTCATTGACTTCGAAAGGACTGGGGTATAAACGGTATAAATCAAACTTGAGGGCCCCAGGAAATGGATGCTTCAGAAGCTTCATACTAAAAATATCTAAAAATGGTAAAAACTTATTGGTCCCAGGGATCCACACTTGACAGACCTCTGATGCTGAGAGCTGTGCCGGTTCGTCTTACAACTAGCCACTGCGGAATTTGCCCAGGATGTGCAAGGAGCCTTCAGAGTAAACGGCAGACACAAAAACACAGCAGAAGTGTTCCGTCACCGACGTAAGAGGCCTGATTCTGATCTCAAAAATGAAATTGCCACCAATTTGCCACCAAAGGTTCACAGGATTTCACAGGATGAGTCGAAGCACAAATTGGTTTCTGGATGGTTCCAGATTCTGGACTGAAATCAGAGACGGAAAGCAGACATGAACGGAGAGGCTTCAAGTTTGAAACACAAATCTTGGCAGCGCTCCTTCCCAAAAATCAAGCTCTGACCAGAAAACTTTCGCATGAATCAGATTAACTCTTCAGCTTTCGTGAAAGCATGAGGAAGCAGGTTTCAGATATGAACTTTCAGGCTACTCATGGCTGCAGACAAGGAACACACAATGGCCATGAAGACAAGAGACAGCACTAACACTGTCGTGGGTCCCACCTTCGGAACACAGGGCTGGGTTTTTTCCATGGAGTTGTTCAAAGATGGGGAAGTTTGGTCTGATCTCAGAGCACCTTCAAGCCCGGCGTGTCATCACTGTAGAATTTCAAGATGCCGCCTCCACCACCGCCTGCCTAGACAGAGTCCGAGTACATGGACCACACCCTTACAGCATCATAGAACATCAAGAAATAGAATTAAGGTAATTAAGGTAATGTCGATAGAGAATCAATGGATCTAAGCTCTTCACCATGTGTTAGAAGCAATATTCTTTGCAACAAACATGTGGAAATGCACGCTGCCTTTTTGCCACTGTTGGCACCGGCTCCGGCCCCTGTCCTGCACACTTCACACAAGTGCCACTTACAACATCTTGCAACCATGCAGGTCAATAATGATTTTCCCGATTGAAACAACCATTTTTAAGGGTCTGCCCCATTTTCAAACACACCCATGTGTATCCGATTATCCTTCTTGAATGCAAGGTCGAAAAGGAACCAAGATAAAAACTTCAAAAATGGGATTGTGGAACTGTGGAACTTGGGCCATCTTGCAAGACTTGCAAGTCTTGCGAGTCAAGACTTGTGGCTCTAACACTTGCGTTTTGATCTGTGGCTGTCACCTAGTATTTGTGCGGCGTGCCAGCGCCGTTCTGGAGCCACCGACCTTGGAAGAATGCTGTCATATCGTGTCTAATTCCAAGCCAATTCACTACGGACTCCATCACTACTAATATCAAGAGTTTCTCTCCCAACTGCTCTTTGATCAATGGACATGCATCGCATTTCTAATAGTTCGTCAGTTCTGCTCTGCGAGAAAGTTAAGGTCCGCCAACGCAAAATCAATTTGTGCCAGAGTCTTGGCTGCATTAGCATCTTGACCGTCCAACTGAACCTTCTGCAACCCAACCGTTTGAGTAGCTAGCGGATGCAGCAGCAGTACCACGCCCTGTGCCCGAGCCAGAATCTGCCATCCTAGGCAAAACATCCGAAACAGAAAAATGAATGGAACCACGTTGCCAAACTGCAACACGACAATGTCAATATGATTTTGTTTTGGCACAGGAACCATCGCACTTTCCCGTCCTCAACGAGCTGGGAGCACCGCTCTAGAATGATACTTTGGGCAAAAGCTTCGGTTGGACGCAGCATGCACCATTTGACACCATACAATTCATCGAGGCTCCTTGATACACCTTGTATAGTATTTGATCATATCTATTCGTACCCACACGATGCAGGGCAGAAGTTGCCTTAAGGTTATACTATAGGACTGTTTTCATCTATAGAACTTGCATGCGCCGTGCGCCAGCCAGGCCCCGTGCGTGCGTCCGTGCGTGCTTTGTGCGACAGCAATGCACTGTTCCAAAGGTCGCACTTGAAACTCCACAATTCACACTGATCCTTCACACTTCACACTTTATCTCATCTCACTGAGCTCTTCTCACCTCATCTTAGCTCTTCTCATCTCATCTCTTCTCGTATGTCATCTAAATCTAAGTTCTGTTCAACTATTTTCATTTCATCTGAGCACTGCTCAACCTTTCTCACCTCATCGAAGCTCTTCTTAACTCATCTCAGCTCTTGTGCACGTCGGAAAGTTTTTAGTGTCAGAGAGAAGAAGTCTCTTACGCACAACAGCCGTTACGCGCAGAAAACGTATGCACAGAGAAACTTTTGCACACAGAAGTTTTTGCACACAAATGCGTTTATACAGAGAAGCTTTTACACAAAGAAGCTTCTACACAGAGAAGCTTTTACACACAAATGCGTTTACACAGAGAAGCTTTTACTCAAAGAATCTTTTACACAGAGAAGCTTTTACACACAGAGAAGCTTTTACAGACAGAAGTTTTTACACACAGAAAGTGTTTACACAGAGTGCCTTTACACATGGCGTCTACACGCAGCAATCTCTTACGCTGAGCACCTTTATCACACAGCAAATTTTTACACATAGCACGCTTTTATACATAGCACGCTTTTACACAGAGAAACTTTTACACACAGCAAAATTTTACACAGGAAAACTTTTACACAGAGAAGCTACTTGACGCAGAGATACATGTCCCAGTGCTGCTTGTACTACAAAGCTTGCACAAAGCACTTCCCAGTACTACTTTGTACTACAAAACTTGCACAAAGTACTTCCCAGTACTACTTTGTACTACAAAGCTTGCACCTAGCATTTCCCAGTACTACTTTGTACTACCAAGCTTGCACAGAGCACTTCCCAGTACTACTTGTACTACAAGGCTTGCACAAGGTACTCCCCGGTACGACTTTGTACTGCAAAGTTTGCACAGAGTAATTCCCAGTACTACTTTGTACTACAAAGCTTGCACCAAGCACGTCCCAGTACCACTTTGTACTACAAAGCTTGCACAAAGCACGTCCCAGTACTACTTCGTACTACAAGACATGCACAGAGTACGTCCCAGTACACTTTGCTTCCCAGTACTACTTTGTACTACAAAGCTTGCACAAAGTGCTTCCCAGTACTACTTTGTACTACAAAGCTTGCACAAAGCACTTCCCAGGACTACTTTGCACTACAAAGCTTGCACAAAGCACGTCCCAGTACTACTTTGTACTACAAAGCTTGCACAGGGTATGACCCAGTACTACTTTGTACTACGAAGCTTGCACTCAGCACTTCCCGGTACTACTTTGTACTACTAAGCTTGCACAAAGCACTTCCCAGTACTACTTTGTACTACAAGGCTTGCACAGAGTACGTCCCAATACTACTTTGTATTGCAAAGCTTGCACAAAGTACTTCCCAGCACTACTTTGTGTTACAAAGCTCGCACAAAGCACTGCCCAGTACTACTTCGTATTGCAAAGCTTGCACAAAGTACTTCCCAGCACTACTTTGTATTACAAAGCTCGCACGAAGCACTGCCCAGTGCTACTTCGTACTATGAGACATGCACAAAGAACGTCCCAGCACTACTTTGCTTCCCAGGACTACTTTGTACTACAAAGCTTGCACAAAATACTTCCCAGTACTAACTACTTTGTACTACAAAGCTTGCACAAGTACGTCCAAGTACTGCTTTGTACTACAAAGCTTGCACAAAGTACGTCCCAGTACTACTTTGTACTACAATTCTTGCACAAAGAAGCTATCTTTTACACAGAGAACCTTTTACACACAGAGGCTTTTGCACACAACAAGTCCTTACACAGAGAAGTTTTTACACACAGCAAGCTTTTTACACACAGCAAGCGTTTATACACAGAAAACTTTGACACAGAGTGCTTTTACACATGGCAAGCGTTTACACACACAGAAGCTTGTACACACAGCAAGCTTTTACACAGAGAATTTTAGACACAGAAAACCTTTACACACCTCAAGTTTTTACACACAGAAAGTGTTTACACACAGCAAGCTTTTACACAGAGAATCTTTGAGGCACAGAAAACCTTTACACACCTCAAGTTTTTACACACAGAACGCTTTTACACACAACAAGCTTTTACACGCAGAAAGCTTTTACAGAAAAGAGTTTTTACACAAAGAAGCTTTCTTGTACATAATGACAACTGGAATTGCAGCTCCAAAACCGGATCTCGGCGCCAGAGCAAAGAAAAAACACGATTTTGTAGCACTTTTTAAAAGGAATTTTCAAAGGAAAATCACCAGCGGCAAAATTGAAAAAATTGCTGACAAATCACTCTCGCAGCCTTGTTGCAGCCACTCAAATACTATTTACAAGGTCCAGCTGCAAAATACAATCGTATTACGCATGCAGCCGCGGTACCAAGCAACCTTGGTACCAAGCAACCTTGACGCAGCCATTTCAATGCGTTTTGCAGCAACATGTGCCCATCCTTGCAGCCATTACAATGCGATTTGCATCCACGCGTTGCAGAACACCAAGGGAGAACCGATTACGCTCGAAACGCTTCCTCCCCAAAACATGTTGTACTGTTATGTGATGTAAAGTCTCACACCACCCTTCAACGTGATGTATTGTTATGTGGTGTACTGTTAAGTGATGTAAAGTATCACACCACCCTTCATCAGATGTGAAGTCTCACAATTCTATTTATCCGTAACTCGGAAGATTGCTTCCCAACTTCTTTTGATAATCAAATGCATTCAGGTTGGTGTTGTAGCACCTCTCAACTATTTGACTCTGAAAGCTCTGAATCTGAGAAGCCTTTGTTCCTACCTGCTGTTGCAAACAGCTTGACCGGTAACAGCCGACCTCTGCCCAGGCGCAAGTAGAGCCCATTGACCCGGCCCCACTAGCACCCTGTGCAGGAAACGATGATCAAGCAGCCGCAGTACTCAAATAGAACCGAGCCCATGGCACACCCAATGACTCTCAAAAACTATGACCACCGATCCAGTGCCACACATGGCCGTGCTGAATGACAAGAAGCGAAGAAAAGAAATTGGCAAATGATAGAAATATATAGAAATCATGATAGAAATCATTGAAATCATGATAGAAATCTTGTGCATTCCCTGCCTCTCTTGAGGTGAGTGCACAGTAAAGACCACCCAGCTCCAGCACTTCCTCCAGCGTTGGCTTGACCTTCACAGATCCAAACAAGGACTCAAAGACTAGGACTACTATAATCGGACTATAATCGGACTATCTGGGACTCTTCGGAAAGTTCCTCGGGATATTCATGATATTCTATGACACTATGATATATATATATATATATGTATATATATACTATGATTCTATGATATTCCATTCCCCAACAGTGTCGAGACTGGCATGACTCGCATGACTAGGACATTCCCACGATTTTCTTAAGCTCACTCTTTCAGAGCATGGGCAGAAAGACTACTGTCCCCGTGGCATCACAATTTCAAAGGTGTTAGATTCCAGCCTCCTGGTCAAAAGCAGCTGTGAGTTCAAAGCAATCCACCTGAAGCACCATCTTAGGCAAGGCCTCTGGTCATGCAACCGCTGACTCCAACGCTCAGATCGCTCAGTATCATCGTCAATTAACGTCAGCTACACGGTAAGTTGTATCAAGTTGCATCAGGTTTCTTACACTTTTCATGTTTGGCGAAAAAGGAATGCCTTTCAAGAAATTGAACCCTCCGCGTGTCGGATATTGAGGGCTCTACCGAAGTTCTTCTGGCCTCGAAAGCATATCTTTCCAAAGAGTAGTGCACGTAAACCTTCACAGGCATCGACATTCAAGGGCCCTAGAACAGTTCGGTGTCCTTGCCCATGGGTCATGAAGTTCCACTCTTTTGTCTTTTCAAATGAGGGTTGCACAACACACCTGAACCTACATTGTTTAGACAAATAGTGCCTCCACTCCACGAGAAGAGAACCACGCCGCAAATTGAGCAAGGGCCACTTTGTGCCGCATGTAACCCTGCAACGATGCAAAACCGAAGCTGTAACACTGTAACACTGGTCGGTAGTCAAGTTATCGTCAGGAATGCTACGGACCCTGCACCTCCTGGCAGCTAGGTCAACAGTGAGGCCCAAAATGGGCCCAAAACACTGAACAAGAATTCCACAAGAATTCTACAAGCATCCAACTCAAAAAAGGTCCGCAATTTTCCATACCTGCCTGAGCATCAGGTTCATATTGCGAATCTACCAAATGCACAGATGTCACTGGCACACCTGGGTGACATGCAAACACGTTCAACACTGTCAACCCTGCACCAATCTGGCATGATTGAGATGTATGACAAGAAAAGTGCAAATGGCTTGGGAAGGAATTTCTGCACCCAAGACATCAATGCATGGAAAAATTACACTTAAATGGAACCTCCCTCAAACCCAAAGGAAAGGGCAAAGAAATTAGCGACTCTTTGATTTCAAAACATGTTCTACCAATTTCTTTGCCCAAATTCCAAGCCCCAAGGGATGATGTAGGCGTCCAACCTTTGGCCAGGAGCATCTCCAGTAAGCAAAAGTCAAAGCGCAGCAAGCCGCTGCCCAATGATGCGTAGCAAACCTCCCAAAGTTAGGACCCATAAAGAATGAACTGAATGAACAGTGATGATTTGAAAACGGGGTGAGGTGATGTTGATCTTCTGATCTTAATTGGCTACAATGTCCACAAATTCCCAATCAAATCAGCACAGTTTCACCTTGACCCTCCAAATGGGTTCAAGCAAATGAAGTCCAACTTTGGGACAGGATGCGCCCCTCTGGGACCAAGCTGGACCCCTCCAAGGACGCATCCACCGGCCAATGCTGCGGCAGGTGCCACGCCAAACTCAGAAGCTTCGTTCGCGACTTCGGCCTTTCGCCACTCCAAATCTGTCGCGTTCAGCACCAGAAGTTCTTCATCTTCAGGGATCGCTTCAATCCCATGGCCGCCATAGACCAGCAAATGCCGCCCATATCGCTGTGCACCAAAACGCATCCTCGGTGCTGGGACAAAGAGTTCACTGCCTTTTCTCCTGGTAGCACCACGCTTCCACCGCAGTGTTGAAAGATTTAGGGAGTAGCCGCGCATGGTAGCTGGCCTACCTCCATGGAAAATTTCAAGATGTTCCTCACAGCCACCCATGATCACGAAGTGCTCTGCTGTTGTAAGCGAAGAAAATGTGGCACCAAAATGCAAGGATCGCCAGTGCGGAACCTGACCTTGTGTCTGGACGCGCTCCCATCGCTGTGAGTCCACCTCCAAGATGTAAACATAATTTGCATATGCTCTGTCACCGATGAAAATAAACTCCGGATCGCGAGGAGGAATGTCTCCCCCGAAAACCACAACTTTCTTGCCGCTTGAGAACGAATCCGCTGCATGATGCCAGATTGCTTGGGGAACTTGTCCGCTTGCAGGTACCTTCTTCCAGTTCAGTTCCAATCTATCTGCACTCTCAGTCAACTCAGTCAACTTTGCATCTCCCGAAGTACAACCTGGAAGAAGTTGCAGAAAAAGCAACGTTTGGAGCCCGTCACAAGGGTCATGAGTCTTGTCATTGCAGCCTCCCAAGACCAGAATGCACGGGGAATTTCCAGGGCAAACAGTACAGCTGGAGTGGCGGAGTCTGCGCTGAGGCCTCTCAGACCCAGAAGCCAACGAAGGCTCGGACAGTGTCATTTTCTTCAAATCTAGAACTGCCACATGCAAATCTATTCTTAAACTCCATGGTCTCCAACCGCCCACTGTTACCACAAAGTCCTTCAAAGCTGACGCTGTGTGGCCACTGGCCCCCAACACTTTTTGCCGCAGTTCAAAGTAGACTGCGCCGTCTAAGTGTTGCTGGAAGAGTTCACTTGAGTGCAAACATCGCTGTCGGAGACTATGTTCATAGTAAAACGCATCTGCCTTGTAGCCTGAACGAAAGAGAGTCCTCCAGAATTCTGCAGTTTGATCTGCGTAAACTCCACCATCTGAAGCGGCCAAATGCAGAGTAATTACTGCTTCATCCAACAAGGAATAGCACAAGGATTGCCACAAAGAGATGCTTTCCTTCAACTGTTTGTGCACATTTCTGCTGCAGTTCCCAGTAGCAGTTACAATTGCTGCCGGGAGGAAGTGGCAAATCCGCATGAAAATGTCTTCACCGAGGACCTCAGCAGTGATGCTCGCTTTCACAGGGTCGATGGCATCGATGGCCTTCAGATTCCCAGGTTTCAACAGCTTTGGAGCATTGCCCACTATGACAGCCCATCTACCTGCTCGGGAGCGCAAAGGAATGGGATACAATTCACTCCCTTCGTTGAGGTGAAATGGTTCCTTTCCACTGCATAAATTTATCTATGTGCGTGTGTGAGTGTGTGCGTGTGTGCGTAGGTATTCCTACTCCTTTGTGTTCATTTGTCCATACAGTATCTATCTATTTACCGGCCATCTATCTCTCCTGCCTTGTCTATTTATCTACGTGAGCTGTGCAAGCTATCTACCCATGCGACATATGTAATATATGAGATCTACATAATCTACTATGAATGATCGATGTATCTCTGCAACCCATGCAACCTATGATGTCAATATACGCTATCTATGCACATGACCTTCACAATAAATGAAAACTATGTAATACATGTCTCCGTGTAGTGGATGCAACCTGCGCAACCTATGAAATATGTAATCCAAGCAACGTGTTTGATAATACATGGAATCTGTGTCATGGATGTGTATGTATAGCCCATGTAATCTCGTTCAGATACGTGATCTCTGTGATATATCAGATGATAATCGCATATCATAATTCTATGATTTCTGGTTCATTGGTGCAGTGAATGTAAAATATTTTGATCTGTGGTTCCATGCAATCCATGTCATGTATAATGAAATGTAGTGTAGTGTCATGCAAGTCATGCAATGCAGTCCAATTACATAGATAATGTATGATAATGTATGACAATGTGTTGTGTTGGGCGCCCAACCGCTGGTTGCCGTTGTGCCTTTGTCTTCATGGAATGCTTGTAACTCTCCAACGCTTCCATTCAGCTCTTCGGCTGCCAAGCTGTGCAACAGCACTCGGCCACCAGGCCGCAAGACTTCCATGGCAACGGCCCCAGAACGGCTCAGAACGGCGCAGAACGGCTCAGAACGGCTCAGAACGGCTGAAAACTGAGAAAAAAAAAATAGAAAAGTGATAAATGTGATAAAGAAAGTTGTTTAAAACTGTTTAATGTTGTTTAAAACTCTTTAAAAAGTTTGGTTCGCCTAAAATTCTAAACCCTTACCTAAGTGAGCTTCAACTCTTTCAGAGCGTTGACTCCCACCATGCTGTGATCTGACTCAGACCCCTTGATTCTATCTTGGATGCTATGTTGCCTCTTAATGATCTAGAGACTTCATTGCCGCCATGCAGGACTTTCATAACTTCTTATTTGAGCCCTGACAAGTGGAAAATTGTCTTCTATTGTGTCTTGTGTCAGTCTTGACAACACAAAGCACACCATATCTAGCCGGTTTGGCCTCTGTTTCCTCTGCGGCATGTTTGATCATCTGCTCAGCTGCCATCCTGGATTCATCAAGATCACCGTGGCACAAATGCAAGAAAATGCTCAAAAAAACTGAAGACGACTAAGAAAAAAATCAAACTGAATGTAAACTGAATCATACTGAATCACTACAATCTGAAAGTGGCAATGTTGAGATGCATTGAGGTGCATGGAAACGGGCAAAAGAAACCGAAAGAAACTGGCTATGTGTTCTCCTGAGGAAAGTATCACGTGCGGTTGGATTGATGGAGCGGCTGCAGCTGCAACCAGCTGCCACCTTTGTTGTTGAAGTTTGTTGAATGATTTCATCTGGACACACTGGACACACATAAGTTCTTTGGAACCATAGTTTGTGCTGTGTTAGCCTGACAGCTACAACTCATTGCAACTCAATATCTTGACATATCTTGTCCTCTGAGACTTACACACACTCGGCAAGGCAGTCATTCACGGTACACACATGCCTGGATCAGGTGCCACTTAAAACTCGGATCTCGGCAGCACACCAATGGGTTCGAACATGTTCCAACGGTGTTCCAACGGTGTTCCAACGGTTCAACATATTCCTGTGACAATACACCCGATGCAAAACCAGAAATCGTCCAGATCATGTTCCTCTCATTTGTGTCAAATAGACATCAACGCTAAGCCGCTAAGCCAAGTCACCATTCACCCAGTTGAGTTTGCCTCTTCAACTGTTCTGCCTGCTGAAGAATTGAGGCGAATTGAAGTGAATAATCGTTGAACAAGTACCACTCGCACTCCAGTTTCGTGCAAGGCGCTCCAGTTTGCAAAAATGCCTTGAAGTGTCTGGCAATATGAATTTCATACCATTCAAGCCTCTGCATCATCAACCTGAACAGGCAGCCAAAGAATTTCGTCCGAACACTAAGTGCGCAAGTGAGTCTTGTCTGACAATATCCTACTGTCAACTGTTCAAGCTGTGCAAATCTTCACCAATCTTCACCAAACTGTCAAACTGTTCATCTCACCCACCTTGGTGGAAGAGGCGACCACATAGCCATCATCTGCAACATCCAAGAAGAACTCCTCCGCCTGGCTGAGAATGCCGCACCCTGAAAGATTGGCGCAGGCTCTGTGAGATTCTGCGAAATGCAAGCCATGGGCGTGGAACAGCACTGGAAGATGTGGAAATATACTGAAATTTGGTTTTTCAATGTTGTTGAAAGAGTTAAGAGTGGCAAGGCTCACCAGAAGAACAAACAAACAAATTCGGCGAAAGGAGTTCTGGTCAGCTTTGCTTGCATGGGGGAGTAAGCTTGGGCTTTCAAAGCCGCATAGGCTGCACATGTAGAAATACGATGAAATACGGGTATTATACGGCTTACCTTCCAACCTTTAGAGGAAAGCATGCCAGTGCTTCTCGAAGATGCCAAAGGACTTCCCCAACAAGCACCTGCCCAACATAAATGTATGTATGTACATACCTACGTACGTTATACATGCATGGATGGATGGGTGGATGTCTGTGTGTCAGTATCTCTGTCCATCTGTCCGTCCGTCCGTCTGTCTCTGCCTCTGTATATATGTCTGTGTGTGTGTCTGCATGCATGCACGTAGGTAGGTAGGCAGGCAGGTAGGTAGGTAGGTAGGTAGGTCTGTATGTATGTACATACATACATACATAACATAAAATAACATAAATTACATTGCATTACATTACATTACATTGCATACATACGTACAATGCAATACAATACAATACAATACAATACAATACCATAGAATACCATACAATACAGTACAGTACAATACAATGTATGTACGTACGTACGTACGTACGTATGTATGTATCTATGAATGAATGAATGAATGAATGAATGCATGAATGCATGAATGCATGAATGCATGAATGCATGAATGCATGAATTTGCGTGAGTACGTATGTACGTATGTACGTGCATACATACATATACAAAGTATTGTATAGTATAGTATAGCACAGGTATTAGTATGAGTATTAGTGTGAGTATGAGTGTTAGTGTTTGTGTTAGTATAGTATAGTATATTATGTACTCTTCTGGGCCAAGTTTGTCTTCCAAACCGATTGATTTTTTTGGACTGAATCTGCAGGAGTCCTTGGTTTTTGTGCCATTTCTTTCAGGTTTGGCTTTGCACGTCCAAAAGTCCAGCGCGCACCAAGTAAACGTGGGTGTAATCAAGAGAACTGAGGCATGCACTGTCATTCCACTGTCATTCCATCAGCTTTGCACCCAAAATGACTCTAATCCTGATCTTGTACAGATTTCATCAGATTTCTACATTCCAACCTAGCGGTGTTTGCAATGAGGTAGGGAATGTCAGGTCGCTATCAAGTTGAGTTAGGGCTCTTCACGACATGGTCGGATTGCTGAGGCAGACGAAGATCAACGCTCCTACAGTGTCCAACATTGCCCTGTATGTCCTGTGTATTGTCCTGTATTGTGTCCTGCAGTATCCTACAATATCTTACAGTCCGACATACTAATCAAGTAATCAAGTCCACTTTTTGATGTCCTCCAGACATAGCTTAAAACAGCTGCAAAAGCTTTGGAATATCATTGACCCTTTGTGCCGTCCGCATGCTCAACAGGTGTGAAGTGGTGTCGCCCGACTTCGTGAGAATTCTTCAGTGTCCAGAAGTATGCTGGATAACACTTCAAGTTACTTCCAGTGGCATTGCATCCCTCGGTCTCACTGACAAAACCGCAGCAACAGGAGTGATTTTCAGCTGCAACAAGACGATAGAAGACGTGGGTTCGCTGTGGTATATACTTGCTGAGGTCTTCTCTCAGTATACACAGCTTGGTCCAACTTTCGCACCCCAGGGGCAGAAGGCTGTACGATTGTCCGAGGCTGTACACTGAAATTTCAGCACGAGTCCAGGAGAGAAAGTTCCAAGTTGCTTGAACTCAACCGAAAAGCATGTCGAAGTCGTCCTGCGGAGTCTTCACACTACCCCTATTTTATGGTACAACTAGAGCATGAAAATGTGTGCGATGCAGCATTCAAAGAACAACCGTGAAGTTATGCATAGTCTTGCACTACATCCAACTTCATGTTTTCCAGAGTCAGAGTGCTCAAACACAATTTGCTGGTGTTTGTATGGAAACCAAATTTTTAAGAGGCACTGTACACTGGAAGCTAGTCAAGAAATGTCAAGAATGTCAAGCATGTCAAGAATGTCAAGAATAAGAACAATTTGTGATTGGCTCTCCGTGTAAGCTGTTTGGATTTTTTTGAAAAATCCGCCAGCTGAACTTTTTTCAGGGTACCCAGTTGTTTCAAAGCTTTTTGGCCTTAGCATCAGCAAAAATGTTGATCTGAAAAATACTCTGCAAATTCTGCGGTTTTGCAGTTGTCTTGACATGTGTCCTTCCCAGAAGTCTTTGGTTGACCGACTTGTGGAGCAGAGCCTCAAGCTCAGCTCGCAAAGTGTACTAAGCGTGGACTGCAACACTACGGTCAAAACTTCGTCCTAAGTACCAGCTCTGGGCCATTTGCTTTCTCCAAAGAGCAAATCCTCAGAATCCCCAGATGCCTGGCATGGCTGCGATTTCAAGAAAAAACATGGGAAATCAACTCAGTTTTGCAATGGCAAAATAAACAAATTGTACAATGCAATTGATTGCCACAAAACATATAGAGAATTGGCACATGCAAAATATATTCTGCACTGGTGGTGATGCTGGGCCATTGCGAAATCAGAAATGTGACACTCTTCCTTTTTCAGGTGCAACACTCTGCTAGCTAGTGGTGATGAGTTGGTACATGGTTCATGGATGGAATTCTAGGCCTCAGCTGCGTGATCTTCTGATAGGCTGATAAAATCCCAAGACATGATTGGCCCTTACTGATATGGACTTCAAAGGCGCATTTAAGTTTTTGTGAGGTTTGGATGTGAGAGATCAATACCCAAGAATACACAAGACCATTTTCAAATCAATTTCAAGATTGAAAAACACTGATACATGTGGAAGTCAACTTTACAGCACAACGGTGCTAAATGTCGCACAAAGAAATCAAGAGAGCTGAACCAGAGGCGAAGTGTCTGGCGATGCCTGGCAATGTTTGTTGCTTTGGACTCGGCATGTCAACCATTGCATCTCCAATTTTTTCCAGATTCCGTTCAATTGATTTTCAACATATTGACATCTAGCGAGTTTGCTATCACAGCAAGCCGGCAATACTGATGGCACATCCGATGGCACAGGCCTTGTTGCAATGTTTGATGCTGAATTGCCATTGATTGTGAAAGATTGTTTCATATATTGGTCGGGTGTTGCAATTTTTCATCGCGTCAGTTTCTTGGAACTCCACTTTTGCGCTTTGCCCCAGTTGACTCGCAACACCTCGCGCCAGGAATTGATAGATTTAAAACCAAAAAAAAATGATGTAGAAATTGGGCGCATGAGGCATGAAACCCAAGAAAATGAATTTGAAAATCAACACGATGAACTTCGGCAAAATCACAAAAACCACCGGAATTGCCTAAGACTAGCTACACATTGTTTCACAACGAAGCCATCGTTGCATCAATTGGCAGAGTGGCAACGGGCGAGTGTGATGGTGTTCGATTTTTGAAGGTTAAGAAAAAAATTGTAAAACATGCGTCCTCAATTCTACCAGGCCTTCGCGATCACTTTGTCCTCAAACATCGGCACCTTGATGATCATTTGCTTTGTCCCAAGTTGACCAAAACATTACAATGCAATCAATTCATAACAGGCGATCACCAAAAGACTGAAGGCAGCTGCCATTGATTCTTCGTTGGTCACGTCCTGGCAACAGTCAATCAAAAATTCAAAAGAAACAAACAAAAAATACATGTCCTACTGTAAATTTGATGTTGTTTGTTGGAAATGTCCATCTGCATTGGTTCACATGTTACGGATCCACAATGCAAAAACAAAAGGAAACTGGGACAACTGGGACCCCCACCATCCACACAGCACCAGACCTTCGGATTGTCGTTTGTGCAATGGATTTAGATTTATGTGATCATATGTCATGTCCGTATCTAAGTGCCAGACTCCCATTTCATTTTGAATCGGAAATGGTACTGTCCAGGCAGCGGAAAACCCGCCTTAACATCTTTCAATTTTATTCCGTGTCCTGCAAGTTGCATTTCAAAATGGCATTGACCTGGGTCCTGCCTCATGCCAAGCAAGTACAACGCAACAGTTGATAATCCACTCGCATCGGATGTGTGTGTCCTCCATGGACCACTTCAAACGCATTCGGATGTTCTTGTTCATCATTGTCACCTGCATTTCGTTATTCACACGCTGTTCATGTCGACAAACAAATCATATTTTTTCCCGGCCTGGCACCCAATAGTATGCAAAAATGCGAGCCATCGAATGGCACTTCTAACGTCCGCCTCCCATTTTTGCCACAAATGTCACCATTATTTTCACAAGCCAAACAGCAAATCAACTGGGCGAATATTGGCATCAATGTCCGTTTTGAAAACGAATAAAATACGTGCAAAACCGTCCTGATGCACGTGTTTTCCATTGGTTTTGTGAATTTTTGCGACGAATTGATAATATATATGTGTACACACAAACACAAATTTCCATATCCATACCTACATACATACATAACATAACAAAACATAACATAACATATCATTGCATTGAATTACATTACATACGTAATACATACATTACATTACATTACATTACATGACATTCCATTACGTTACATTACATTACATGACATTGCATTACATTACATTACATACCATACATACATACATACATACATATGTACGTACGTACGTACGTACGTACGTACGTACATACGTACATACGTACATACGGACATACGTACATACGTACATACGTACATACGTACATACGTACATAGGTACATACGTACATACGTACATACGTACACACGTACATACGTACATACGTACATACGTACATACGGACATACGTACATACGTACATACGTACATACGTACATACGTACATACGTTCATACGTACATACGTACATACGTACATACGTACATACGTACATACGTACGTACGTACGTACATACATACACACACAGACATACATACATACATACATACATACATTACATTACATTACATTACATTACATTACATTACATTACATTACATACATACATACATACATACATACACACATACATACATACATACACTACATTACGTTACATTACATTACATTACATACATTCATTCATTACATACATTACATACATTACATACATTACATACATTACATACATTACATACATTACATTACATTACATACATTCATTCATTACATACATTACATACATTACATACATTACATACATTACATACATTACATACATTACATACACTACATACATTACATACACTACATACATTACATACATACATACATACATTACATTACATTACATACATTACATTACATTACCTTACATTACATACATTACATTACATTACATACATTACATACATTTCATACATACATACATACATACATACATACATTGACATACATACATACATACATACATACACACATACATACATACATACATACATGAATACAATACATACATACATACATTACATATGTTAATACGTACCAACCATACCATACCATACCGTACCGTACCGTACTGTACCATACCATACCATACCATACCATACCGTACCAGCATACAGCACATACATACGTAAATACATACATACATACATACATACATACATACAACCATACATACATTAAATTTAATTACATTACATTAAATTACATTACGTTACGTTACAGTACATTACATGCATACATACCATACATACCTAAATACAGACAGACATACAAACAGACAATACATGATTCAAAACATCAAATGCGAGCTACATTTTTACCGAACCAGATTCCCCCTCCAGATTGGCATCCCCCAGTTGAACCGTTACATGCTGAACCTTCCGTTGATGATGAACCTCCTGACCTTCCCTTTGTATGATTGTGCGTTCTACATGATGGTACTGTGTGCAAAAAAGCGTTTGCAACACCAAGTGCTCTGGCAATACACAAAGCAAACAGGAAAAGTGGTACTCATGGTTATCTCTCTGACGTGTCAAATGTTGCTGTTGCGAACATATGCCCTTGGTGCCGACAATTGTGCCACACACGACAATCAGGCAAAGAACACATTCGCAGAAAACGTAGTGCAGTTGTGTATCAGGTGCCTCCCTCTCAGCTTTGTTGTCCTACATGCGATGTTGTTTTTGGATCAGTGGGTGAACTTCTGGCGCGTGTGGTTTCACATGTGCAGCTGCCCGTTGCATAGATTTTTCTGGCTCTTTTCAAGCAGCAAACTCCTTCACTGCGCCGGGATGGCGTCCTTGACCCCGAGGTCCTTGGCCCACAAGTGCGGCACGGGCGAACCTGGCGGCAACAGCAAGAAACAAGCAGGCGGATTTCAAAAGTTCCTGATCAAGGAGGTTCAGCTCTTGGCAAAATTGTCTCTCAAAAATGCACTCGACATCCGGAAGATCCAATCCACCGTCCTCACGACTGCGATTTTGAACCAAGATGATCTCTATATTCAAGCCGCCACAGCTGCCACAGAAGAGATCAACAAGCACAAAGATCAAGCGAAAGCAGGAAATGGCGAGCCGTGACAGATGGTTTGGCCGAAGAAGACAAGAAGGCGGAACAGGCATTTTGCTCTGAACATCCATCGCCTGACCAAATGGCTATCGTTGGGCATGTGTGCCATGTGAAGAAGGTATTCCAGAAAGGCAAAAGGAAGTTGCTTGGCTGTCCATGACAGCGCGGAAGCTGTTCTACAGCTCCTTGTGAAGAAGTCTAAGAAGTCGGCAAAGAGAGAAGGTGAATTGAAGCGAGGCCAAGCTCTAAAGGGGGATTGGAGCGAGAACTTCACGGGTTCTTGCATCAACTCAGCGACATGCTGAATAGATTCTCCTTAGGGCGTTTTGAACCCCAAGTGTGCTGGTGACGGAGTTGACCCTGTGGCTTTGCTTGTTTGTTGGTTTGCTGTCTTGTTGTTTTGGTGAGTGGGGTCATTCTTGACACTGTAGCACCAGTGTCCTTGCTGTCCAAGAGGGACAGCGCTGAGCGTCTGCGCAAGCAGCTGGGCTCCATAACGGGCCCTAACCCAGCCATCATGAAGACATATGGGAACGCTGCAAATGAAATGTGTACGACATTGTAGATGTTGTAGCCAAGACCTTCACATCCATTTTGGATTGGAATGTTTTAATACTAAGCACTCACACATGACCCAAATGAAATAGACACAATGCAAACAAACATTGTTTTGGTCGCGTTGTCAAGAGAAATTATAACGCGCAAATTTCCCAAGTTGCAACAAATGTTCATGGTTGGTTTTTAAAAACTCTGTTTTGAACCCACAAAGCCTCGCACGCAATGTCGTTTCACATGCTCATGCGTCTTTCATGACATGAGATTTGGTTTCACTGGTTTCAGTGTTGTGTAGTTTTCAACTAGCAAACTCCTACACGCAACTGTCTAAACTGGCTAAAAGTTGCATGAAAACATTTCCATACCCCGCCTTTGATCCAAGAGTCGTTTACTCTTTGGGTCAAACTGCAAATGTTTCTACCTACGGCATGAAACAAAACAGAAAACAAAACGAAACGGTTCCACGAGGACTTCACCTGATTCCCAAATGCAAAAAGGGCCGTGGAAACTTTATGGCAAAGCAACAGCTTGTCACCATTGGAAACGGTCTGTTGACACTGCGTCAATAAACCATAGTCTATTCCTCTCAGAGCTTTCAAGAGATCGCGTTAGCTCTTGCCAAGCGTTACAACTCACTTTTGCAAGTCCTGTCCAACAGGATCGTGTTAGCCGCTAGCCTGTTGCGACTGCACATTTCTCACAACTCATTCTCATCCACAAGTTCTCCTCTAGCAATCCTTCGTTCTCTCGCATCATTTGATCCTGCTGTTCATCCCATAGTTCTACAGCTGACACCTCATGGCGTTCACTCACCATGTAGCGAATGTAGCGATGATATCGCTCATCTTCTGCTTCGTGATGAACTTCCATCCAAGTGTCTGGATCTGACACTTCTGACAACGTTGACTGGCAATACCTATGGTATCGCTGCTCCTCTGTTTCTGTTGCATTCTCACTTTCATCACTCATGCCGGCCTGATAGCCTTGAAAGGCCTATCCAACATCATCCATCACCTGTTGCTCGCTGAACTGGAAGCGCGGTGACCTCTCATCATCTGTAAGGTCTGTCATTGCGATCAAGCTTTCCTTCATATGGGTATGTTGCTCGTCACTAGGACCACTAGGGTGATCCATGAACATGTGGATCAACTCAGCAAGTCCATTCATCCTTTCAGCATTCACCAAAGAATTGTTCTCGCGCCGAACTCTAGCTTGGCACCTGAAGTAAAGCCAAACTAGCATCCCTTCAGCTCGAAACGTTGCATCTGCAAACACTCCAGGAAATTTCATACCCAAAGATCTCGAATTTGATTCATATCTGGAACTTTGTGGTTCCGTTGATGGTTCCAACTGGTTCTCCTCATCTCGGTCCTCTGGTTCTGGCTCTCGATCTGTTCCACTTGATGGCATCATGTATGCCACTGCTGCAAACATCAAAAGAAACCCACATAGCACTGCAAGAATCATTGGGCTCTTTATTCCGTGCCACCAGCTCAAGGCTTCAAAGGATTCCATCTCAAACGCAAGCAAATTGTAAAGAATAGATCATCGGCCATACCCAGAACGCTCCAGATGGAAAGAACTCTGAGAAATTGTTTTGCAAACTTGTTGGTTTGTGAACATGGAACATGTGAAGTGGTGTCTATCATCGTTTCTCGAACTGCTCTGACTTGGTGTTTCAACATCTCTTTTGCTTCCATTCTTGAAAATTCCAACTCCCCAACTGGTTCATCATTGCAGACAAAACCGAGCAAAAACAAAAGGCACATGTATCTGTCCTTGTTCAATGCTTTCGTGTTGAGATCCGCAATGTTATAGTATAGTTGGTCTTCACTTGCTTGATGTCAATCTCACCACCATTTGATTTTTCCTGAAGCCAAAGCAAACGGCCACGTATGTGTCTCCACCTACCTGCTCCAAGTTTCTTTGACAACATACGCACGGCTGAGTTGTCCGTGTGAAGGACAAGTGGTTTCACGTTTCCATCGCACAAAAAGCTGATCACATGGTGAAGAAATAAACCATCACATGCCCCTGAAGTTGCTGCATACCATTCTGCTTCTGTGCCACTCAACGAAACACATTTCTGACTCCTAGGTGTCGACCAAACAACCAAACCATTGACCACATGTACTGCCGATGAAGTTGATCTCCCTGACCAGTCTGAATCTGAAATGTTTCAATTCAACACAATTCAAATCACTCTGGCTATCTGCATTTC